CAGTTACATGCTGACGGATGACTCTCAATGCGCCTCTTACTGTGATGCGGCGCACTGGCAGAGCTTGGGCAACCCCAATGGATGGCCAATGCTGGCACTGCTGTGCACATCTGTGCTGTGGAGCCTGGTCTAGCTGGCGTGCGCGCTCTCCGGCCTTCGACGAAGGACGATGTGAATAGTTTCCGTGGTGTTCTTTTCTTCAGACCCCTTTTTCAATTATTATTTGTTTTCATTCGCGATGAAATGGCTGCCTTTGTGTGCTTTTGCGGCTTTGGTACGTCTTTGCCTGCGCAGCAGCGGAGAGCCCTTCCCACGCCGCTGTCGCGGTATCCCAGCGGAGGGTGACGCGAAGGCGCCGCGTCGACAAAAAGGGACGGCCGCGTTGTTTCACGTGTATGCACCTAAGCGTGCAGCTCGCTGGCTCGCGCAACAGCGTGTTTGTGTGTGTGTGGTCCCCTAGGTTTGCGATGGAGCCGCGGTGCGTGCCTCTGCGCCGGAGAAATGTTGCTTGCGACGAGTTGGCGGTGGTAGGGGGGGGGATGGTGTGCTCCCTGGGTCCCTCCATACAAGAGCAACACACAGCGCCAGCACGTGGGCACTGCAGAGAAGCGAGCGAGTTTAGTTGCACCTTTTCTTTCTCATCTTATTTAACCGAAAATGAAGGATCGAGGTCTTACTCTTTGTGGTTCCGCATGAGGTGCGACCGAATGGAGATGGCTGGAGTGGCCCGTCATCTTTCTGAGCGACATGCGTGACGTTAACACGCGAGTGACCGAAAAAACAGCGACAAAAGCTTTATTTTCTAGTGCAGTTCTTTTCATCCGTATTAACTCACCCACACTCCCTCCGATGTATTAATGCTTTCATTCCTCGTGCTGCTGTTTCGTCTCTGCGCGTGACGGCGCTCTTCTCCCAAATAGTGCGGAGAGGCAATTCAGTGACTCTCTTGTTCGTTTATCTTCGCGAAACGCTTCGGCTTCTACGGAAAAACGGTGCGTGCTCCCACAAAAGCGAAGTCTGTGTGGTGTGACTTATCTTCCCGGCATCTGTGTACTCTTCGGATGGTGGAGGAGCAACAGACAATCCAAAATGGCCCCACTTCGCTGCTGTGGTGCTCGCAACGACACGAGAATTGTTTATTATTATCATTTGAAACGTATTTTTGTTCCCGGCTTTACCATGGGGCCGCCCTCATCCAATGAATGAGGTGCGTAGTCAAGGGGCCCGCTCTGCGCGTAACGGTGTTTGGGCGTGGCTTCAAAAACCAAATGCGGCGGGAGACCAAGTAGAGAAGGCTGGGGAGCTCAGCGTGGGTGCCGAGTGTGTCTGCCTACGCGAGAGCACCGGTGTGAGCCCAGAAGGGCGGCATGTTATGTTTTCTCAAGCGCTGTACTCAGGGCCTGTTTGCAGGCTCACCTGAAAGATGTATTTGTGCTTTACTGGCACTTTTCGCACGACCGGACACGGCCTTTTTTCTTCTCATTCTTCCAATATCTTCTCATGTGGTTAAATACGGTAGAGCGATGATGCTGTGCGTGGAATACACAGTTTCTTTTGTTTTGTACTGCGCAGTGTGAATGTCTGCACCGAGCCACGTCTGTTCGTGCTCTCGAGTGCTGTAGAGCTTCACAACTCCGCGCTCATTTCCTCTTCGTTTTTCCTCTCCGTGGTGCTGTGCTCGACGGCGGAGAGCTACCTCGAATGGATTCCTCACTTCCCCTTTCATCTCCGAGTGTTTTCGTTCGTGCGTGATAAGAGCGCGAGAGCCGAACGCATTTTAGCCGACTGAGCTGCGGTGGAGTGATCCGAAGTCGTTGTCCGTGAAGCTGCGCAGGAAGGAAACCACCGTGTGTACAACCTTACAGCTGCATCCACAAGTAGAACAAGCGCTACGTAGTTTGGTCTGACCGCGTCGACGGCGAGTGCACCACGCTGTGTTGTTGTGTCCTTCCGGCCGCCCCTCGTTGTGTTCTCCCCCGCGCCCTCCCGCACCATTCTCCCTCTTCGTCTCCGCTGTGCTCATCTTTTGTTTCTGTCGCCGGATGGCACACAGTTCTTTCTGATTCCCTAAATGCATCGCCTGCTTTCATCATCATCACAGTTCTCCCACCGGGCATCCACAGGCACTGCCCTCCTTATCACTTGGGGTTTTCTAACTCCAGAAGGAGCGAACACCGTGCCGTAACCAGCAGGATGCCGGCTCGTTCTGTGCTGTGAGGTGCAGGATGCCACGGAGCGGCTCGAAAGACGCGAACATCGATAATGCAACGCACGCATAACTGCTGGCGCGGGCCGCGACGAAGGCCGAGGCGCCGCCAAAAGACGCCGCAACCTCGCTGGCTGAACAATCCGTACTGCGGCACAACTCCCTTGAATGCGCAGCAGCGGAGAGGCGGCGTTGTGGTGGCACGCCGTGGGAGAACTGACAGACGCGCGGACGAAGGCGAGGCTCCTCGGCTTTGCGGGGCTGAAGCGGCTCCCACCGACGGCGGTCCTTGCTTGACTCTGCACGCTCTGCGCACCCGGCAAGGAGAGCGGTGGGAGGTGCGTGATGCAACCTCTCCCTCCTGGCTCGCAGGGTGGGGCGATGCAGTGCCACAACTACCAGGTCTACAATGAGTCTGCGCTCCCAGCGGCGACGCCTGCTCGACGAAATCATCGAACATCGCCCCATGCCGCTCTTCCCGCCGTACGCAGAAATCTCTCACCCCAAGGAAGACGTGTGGAGCATCGCACGCAGGAGCCAGCTTGCGGGGTGCGCGAGTTGCACGAGGGCGAGTCGCCGGTTAGGTCCCTCCACGCCACGACGACCTTCGACCTTCTGGATGGGGGCGCTACGCCGCGCCGATCAACGTCGCTGAAGGTGGACAAGTTGCTGCTGCGGACATGTCGCGGGCAGAGAGCCTTCTTACGCCAGTCACCGGCTGCCTCAGGCATCTCGCCGCCCCGCTACAGCCACACGCTGCGCCCGATGGAGGTAGGGGGTGCGGATGCCGACGTGGACAACGGATGGGACGCGGCTGCTCCACCTGCCGAGGCGGTGGGGGCGGCGGCGGTGGCGTTGCTGCAACGGAAGGGCCGCCCAAGCGCCGCAGCTCTCCGCGCGCAAGAATGTGAGCCGCGTTAACATCGCAGCCGTCAGCTGCCTCGGGGCGGAGGATGGAATGCCTGGGAGCGGAGGTCCTGCCGCGTGCACAACGAATCGTATGGAGCCCCGTCGGGTCCCGCGGCCCTCCATGCACGCGAGGACGATGATGCGATGCGGCACGCTGACTTCGTTGGATCCTTCACACGCGTGCGGTGTCGAGAAGTCCGTGCAACCGACAAAGGGACCTTCGTTTCCCGTTTCTCCTTCTCCGTTGCCACTGGGTCGCTGGCATGCCGGAGAGGGCCGAAGACGGCACAACCCGGCTCGACACCCGTGACGCGGCGCGCTCGGAGCCGGTGCCCGACGATCTGCGAGGGCTGCCCGAAGAGCTGTGGCCATCACTCACCGTTGCCCACTGTCGTTGCACGCGTGAGCGCAGACACGGCGACGGCTGCGGCCTTTTTCATGGTCGCGACCTTTTGCGCTGCTTGCCGTGGCACGAGTGTGGCTCATCCCGCATCCCTACCGCGCTGTCCGCGCGTGTGCCTCCCCGAACCCGCCGTGACACTGCCGCCGCACAACACCTCGTGAAGACGGATACAAGAATGGTTGGAGGCCCTGCCGGAACAGCCGGTGTGTGGTCGTCTCGAGGGTGGCTCCATGCAGAGGCGTAGTGCCGTGGACCGGGTGAGACGGGGTGGAGTGGCCGATGCGGAATGCGCAAGACGCTGCGTACGGTACATGGTCGCCGTCGCCGCCTTTGCATCGGTGGTCGGCGGAGTGAGGCCGCCCCTCCCGGCACGGGCTGTGGCGAACGCGATCCGCGCGCTGGGGTTTTCTCAGGCGCGAAGACGTCGGTGCTCGACACGCCGCCGCTCGGATGGGGCCACCCCCTCGATCCCCCCAACGCACGCCGTGCTTCCAACACAACACGTCCCTTGTTGCTCATGGCCGCGGGGGACCGACCCGATGCGCCACGAAATGTTGGCAGCTGCTCTTTCGTCTTTGCAGTGAGGGGTGAAGGAGGAGCACGTGCTCCCGGTGCGCCACCTACGTGGATCGACAGGCTGGCCCAACACGCGGATCCGGCGGCGCCTCTGCGGCTGCTGAAGGTGATGCGCCGGCGGAGCGGTGGGGCTGTCGTGCTGCGGTGGAGCAGTGCGGGCGGCTGTGCACTACTCCGTGCAACACAATCTAAGGTGTTGTGGAGCCCGCAACTGCGCCGTCCGCCGTCGATGCCACGTGCTAGCGGCTGGCTAGCGATGTGTTTCTGCGACGTGATCTTCGTGTGTGTTTTCTCGTGCTCTGCAAGTCATTTTCTACTCAGGATACCGGCGACGAAGCCGCGACCGCGGCACAGGTGCACTGCTGTGCACTGCTGTGCTGTGCGGTGTGTGCGGAGGGCATCGCCTGCTGCCTGCTCTGCCGCCGTCGCCGCCATCTGCGTCTCCGTTTCTCTGTCTCTCTAAAGCCGCGGCCGCGGCGGAGGAGCGTCCACCGCCCCCTCGTTGTGTGGTGCGACTGGTGTGGGCGTGTGCGTGTCAGCGTGCGCGCGCGATTGCATGCGCGTGCCTGTGGTGCAGGTCCGCTGCTCTGCCTGCTGCGCACACCGCCACACATCTGCTGTCCCACTGCTTCGCTCATTGCTCCCCGCTTCTTCTCTCGCCCTCGCTCTCTTCCTGCGCTGTTACACAGTAGCCGCAGCGCTCTCAACTCTAACGCTCTCTTCGGCCATAACTCTCTTCAAGCTATCTGTTTTAAACGCACCTTTTCTGCTTCCAACGTTTCTGTTTTTATCAACGACATCCGTCCCTGCGCCACACTCCACAGACGCACGTCTCGCGTGCCACGGCTGTTTTCCCCGCTGCTGTCCGGTTCCACGGAGCTTTTCTACGGCGACTCCCGTACCTCCTTCCTTCACCCTCCAACTGCGACCCATGGCGCGGCTTCACTACCCGCTGCGCCGCACGATGGTGGCTGCAGCGATGATGGTGCTGTGCGTGTACGCCGTTCTGGTCTCCGCCACGTACACCGATGCGGAACAGACGAACACGCTGAAGTTCCTGCAGCTCTTTGCGGAGTCCAACCCGTCTCTTAAGAGCCAGTGGACGGGCACGGACGTCTGCACCTGGTTGTACGTGATTTGCAATGCCGGCGCGCCGACTGAACTGAATTTCGGCGACGACTTGTCGCCGTACACCGAATCGTTGGTGCTGCCTGAGCTGGATGACGGCGTGGACGGCGCCGCCGTGATTGTCACAAGCATTATTGCGAGTGGGTCTGGTCAACTGACTGCGGGCACACTGCCTGCGAGCTGGGGCCGCCTGAAACGACTAACGAAAGTGGACTTGAGCGGCAACGCACTGACAGGTCCGCTGCCTGCGGACTGGGGCGAGCTGACTCAGATGCAGTCTCTCAGCTTGAGCCGGAACTCGCTGTCTGGCACTCTGCCTCCTCAATGGGTCAAGATGGCTGTCATAGTCACTATGCAGCTGGCTTCTAACGCTCTGACTGGCTCGATTCCGCACGAGTGGTACAATATCAGTGCTAATATGTTGGATCTGCGCGGAAACCACCTGTGCGGATGCATGCTGCCAGAGTGGGCGACCAACTCACACTTAAACCCCCGGGTCGATCGTGATATGTCTGCGTCGAACTGCGCGACTGCGAACATGTGCCCAGCTGTCAGC